AAAACGTTCACATTCTACTCTTAGAAAGATTCACTTGTACCCTTGTAAGATAAACCTCAGAAGTGATCCCTCCAATCCTCCTCCCTCCACCCATTCCCCCCTTCCCTCTACCTCCCCTCTCCCCGTATTCTTAGGCTGTTATTAGGTTATAGCTTGAAACTAATTTATACATGTACTCTTAATAAAACCATATTTTCACACTGACCTGAAGAACAGTAAGCTGAAATTTAGTCCCCTTCTCTGGTCGGGGACAGGAAGCTCTTCTCTGTTTGACACGATCCTGTTTGCCATTTCCGCTTGGATTATCAAGGTTATTGGTGTTTTCGTTCATAGCTGCCACATCTTGAGTCAAGCTAGGAATTAAAAAAAAAAAAAAAAGCAACTCATTCCAGCCTTGATGGGAAAATTCTAATGAAAATTCCCAATTATAAAATCATAATGAGTTTTAAGAAAAACCTATAAATAAAAAATATATACAATATATTTTTAGAAGTTACAATTGTACAATTATGTGAATATACTAAAAGCCATTGAATTATATACTTTAAATGGGTGGAGAGTATGTTAATTGTATTTCAATAAAGCTATTTTTTATTTTTTCTTATAAAACTATTTTTTAAACAGATTAAGTATACTTATTTGGCAAACATCTCAGAGTGATAAAAAATGAAAGAAAAACAATGATAGACCTCTGTGGAATCTTTTAAAATTTTATTAATGCTATTTTTTATTTAGAGATGGGGCCTCGCTATGTTGCACAGACTGGAGAATGGTGACTATTTACAGGCACACTCAGCACAGTGTGTCCTTGAACTGGTCCCAAGTGATTCCCCCACCTCAGCCTCCCAAATAGCTGGGATTATAGGCATGTGCCACTTCACCTAGCTCTGTGGAATCTTTGATTAAGAGATATTCTCAATAAATTTATCTTGTTTATTTGGGAATTACTTTGTTAATAGGCCCAAATAAAACTTGCAAAACTAAAACAAATTCTCACTCAAAATATACCTATTTATGTAATAAACTCAACAGGGGCTAGACAGACCAGGTATAGGAGCCAGGTACAGTGCACAAGGCAAATAAAAAATTAAAGTGAATAACGTAAAAATGGTTCAACATGATTAATTCTAATTAGGTATGTTTTACATATTTGAATCAATATAACTATGAAAAGGCAGGCTACCTTAGTTTATCTGTGTCAAAAGCATTCTTCAACATTTTCTTTAATAAACTTGAAGATACTTCTTTTTTAAAATTTTACTTATTTATTTATTTTAGATACAGAGTCTCACTTTATCGCCCTTGGTAGAATGCTGCGGCATCACAGCTCACAGCAATCTCAAACTCCAGGGCTTAGGTGATTCTCTTGCCTTAGCCTTCCAAGTAGCTGGGACTACAGGTGTCTGCCACAATGCGTGGCTACTTTTTGTTGCAGTTTGGCTGGGGCTAGGTTCAAACCCACCATCCTTGGTATATGGGGCCAGCGCCCTTCCCACTGAGCCACCAGAACCACCCAAGATATTTCAATAAATACAAAAATTTCAATTTTATTTATCTCTTCTAAGAACCAACGTTTTGTTTCATTACTTTTCTGAATGATCCTTTTACTTTCAATTTCACTTATTGCTGATTTAATTTTGGATATTTATTTTCTTCTGCTAGGTTTAGGATTGGATTGCTCTTCTTTTCCTATTTCTTTAAGATGATTCATTAGATTGTTAATGGGTTCTCTTTCTGCTTTTTGAATATAGGCATCTAATGCAATAAATTTCCATCTCAGGACTGCTTTTTCAGTGTCTCATAGGTTTTGGTAATTTGTGTCTTCATTGTTGTTATGCTCAAGGAAGTTATCTCTTCCTTGACTCAACTGTCATTCAGCATAAGGTAGTCTAATTTCCATGCCTTTGTGTGGGGTGATGATTTTTGTTGAGTTTGACCTTTATTACCTTGTGGTCTGAGAAGATACAAGGTAAAATTTCAATTCTTTTGATTTTGTTGATGTTTGTGTCCTAGGATATGGCCTATTTTGGAGAATGTTCTATGAGCTGACAAGAAGCACATATATACTTTAGCTTTGGGATGGAGTGGTCTGTATATGTCTAATAAGCACAGTGTTGGCCCGTGGAACATTTGGAGCATTTAAGTTGGGTACATAAATATGTAAAATTGAAAAGTCTTCTTGTTGTATTGTTCCCTTGACCAATATAATATGTCCATCTTTGTCTTTTTGGAGTTTAGATGCTTTAAACCCACTTGTATCTGAAAATAACACTACAACTCCTCCTTTCTTCTGTTTTCCATTTGCCTGAAAAATTGTTTTACATCCCTTAAACCTAAATTTTATTTTATCCTTTGAGGCTAGGTGTGTTTCCTGCAGGCAGTAAATGGATGGATTATGCCTTTTTATCCAATCAGTCAACCTATGCCTCTTCAGTGGGGAATTCAAGCCATTAACATTTATTGAGAGAATTGATAAGCATGATGGAGCTCTATTCTTCTTACTTTGGGAAAGTTTATTACTTAGTTTTATCTTTTGCATAATTGTTGAAGCTAGGTTTTATCCTTTAGTTTCTGGGAGTTTGCTGGTGGTCCACTGTGATGGTCAGTGTGCAGAACAAGTATTTCCTGGGAAGCTGGTCTTGTTGTAGCATACATCCTCAATGTTTGCATATCGGTAAATAAGTTGATTTATCCATCAATTTTAAAGTTTAGAATGGCAGGATATAGAATTCTGGGATGAAAAATTGTTTTGTTCAAGAAGGTTAAAGGTAGATGACCATTCTCTTCTGACTTAAGTTTCATTTGAGAAGTCCACTGTCACCCCAATGAATTTGCCACTGTAGCTCAATTGGAGTTTATTCCTGGCTGCTTTCAGAATCTTCTCTTTTGTCTTGACTTTGGACAGATTCATGTCAATGTGAATTGAAGTTCTGTTTGAGTTGATATGACCTGGCGTTAGATATCCCTCTGAAAGGAGTGTAAGAGAATCTTTAGTGATACTTGGGAAATTTTCATTTATGATATGCTCTAGTAGGACTTCCATTCTTCTAGAGTGCTCTTCTTCCCCTTCTGGGATACCTATAATTCTTATGTTTGAATGGTTCATAAAGTCCCATAATTCTCTCAGTGAACCTTCTACTATTGGTCTCTTTTTTTCCTGTCTCTTTAACTGCCTGTGTTAGCTCAAGAGCTTTGCCCTCTACATCTAAGATTCTTTCCTCTGCATGGTCTAATCTGTAATTGATACTTTGTATTGCATCTTTAAATTCCCCGATTGACTGCTTCAATTCCTTAAGGTCCATGATATCCTTTCTATGTTCTTCATATCATCCAGCTCTTATTTGATTGTTTGTGGATTTGCTTTTGGTTATTTTCCACTTTATCAGCAATTTCCTTCATTATTTTTACCATCCATATTTTAAATTCCATTTTTAACATTTCCTTATAGGTGGAATCTTCTGCAGTAGCTACCACATGATCCCTTGGAGGATGGATGCTCTGTTTTGGTTTTTCATGTTGCCAGGATTCTTCTGTTCTTTCCTCCTTATGAGTGCTTTCTCTTTATCTATTTCCTTGACCTACTTTTTGCTTTCACTTCCTTCTGCTCTTTAAGTTATTGTGCCTCTGATCTAAGATGTTGAAGTGTCTTTTTGTAATGGACTAGAAGAAAGAGAAGAACGAAGAGCAAGAAGGGATAAAGGATTCAAGAAAGAGAAAGGAAAGGGGGAGAGTAAAAGTGAAGTTTGACAAACAGAAGATAGAAACAGAAAAAGAGAGACAGGAAAATAGTGGTGTATAGGAGGGTACTTTGACCCAGACACACAAATTCTAACTTCTGGGAGGCTGGTCAGGTGGGTCCTTCGAGGTCTGAAGCTCTTTCTTTGGCAGCCTTAGGAGACACAAGAATCCTCCCCAAAACATAGAATAAAAACAAAAATAATATAAATCAAATCAAAACAAACAAACAAAAAAAACCTTAGGGGATGAAATTGGGGAGTAAAATAATAGAAGGGGCAGAAAAGCTAGGAAAAAATGAAGCCCTAATTATTACAGAAGGAAACAATGAAAAATTATAATTACATGAAAACAAAGAAAAATCTAGGGGGAAAATGTTGGAAAAAATTTAAATATGAAAAAGAAAACTAATGGCTGATTAGAAGCAGCTTTCAACAGAGGCTCGAGTACAAAGGGAGAGATATTGGACTGAAGTGGATGGAAGCCAAATGTAAGGAACTGCACACTGAGAGGACTATGTCAGATATACATCACCCAGGCTGAATCAAGCAGCATAAAAAAAGAAAGTAGGAAAAAAAAAAAAAAGAACAGGAGAATAGGCATGAGCCCAGCTCCAGGAGGAAGGGAGAACTCCCTCCCCCTTAATGGGAGCTCCAAAGGACGTGACCAACCCACCAGCGAACAGGGTTCAAAAGTCTGCTCGCCTTACCCCATAGGACGGCAGACACTAAGCCCCAGTCTTATTTTATTATTGATGTCCAACTACTGAGCCCAGGCCCCATCCTACCTGGCACAGAAGAACAAATATTTTTCTTGCAATCTGGAGAATTCATATCACCCTTTCCCCATCCCAGTTGCCAGAAGGAGTGCCCTCTGCAGAGACTGGAGTGTTTGGCAACCTGACTGAAAAGCCAAGGAAGTTTGCTGGCCACAGAGCTGCATCCTGAGAACAGTAGTGTACCAGTCCTAACTTTGGTGGAGAGACAGTGAACTACCTATGTCCAGCTCAAGCAGATCTGTTTTCTGCCCTCCAGGAAAAGCTCTGTGCTCGACTGTGTAAGTGGGCCACTGCTTAACTGACTTTGAATTTCGACTGAACTTTGGACTGTGCAGTCTACCAGATGGGGCTTAGGTTGACTGGGTGGGAGGGGCCTGCTGTTTAAGCAAATTTGGACTGAACTTTGGATTTGCATTCTCTACCTGGCAGAGACTCTCTGAGGTTAACTGGGTGGGCTATGCCTCACACCACACTCTTAATCTAAACTTCAGACCTACACCCCATGCTGGGTGCCAGTACCCTGAACTTGACCATCCAGTATTGCGCAGTACCTAAGCAACTTTATCTGACCTTTGGGTGTAAACTCTACATAGAGCTATAGCCTTCTGAGTTTGATTGGCTGGATGGTACCAAGTGCAAGAGAGTCTCTCCTCAACTCGGGGACATTTCTGTCAGCTGGGCAGCCCTGTGAGCTTCAGTTGGTGGGCACAGCCAGTGCTAGCAGAGCAACTTTGACTGGATGATGAAACCTGCCATATCTACCAATTCTCTCAATTAATGTTAATGATTTGAACTCTCCTCTACAGAGGCATAGGCTGGTTTACTGGACACAAAAACTCA